TACAAATATTAACAGTACGATGTACAGTAGTCAAATCACTTCCCTACATTAGCTTAATAACTCTTACAGTGATCAGTGTTGATTCTGAGCAGACACTTTGACTCTTTGGCTGTTACTTCACTATCTTCAAAATATAATTTGCATTTTTTGTGGGTGTGCATGTATACAGGGTATGCCTAGAGAATGCTATAGGTTTCTGGAACTGAAAATGTGCTCTGCTCTGAAATGGGAACTTTCTCCTGCCCCTTCGGCAGTGTCTGCTTTTCTGGGCCCCCACCCCTATCAAACAGCTACTGGCTGTTAAGAGAGTAAACTGTCCCAATGACACCTGTCAAAGAAAACTAATCTTTGTTGGGACTGAACATCATGTGCAGTTTGCTGAGTATGCTAAAATTAATTTCTCTACTGTTTCTAGTGCATTTCCCCCATAAACATCAGCAGACAGCGGCTGAAATCCTATTGTTTGGTGTAGCAAGTCACAACTACAGTAGGTGCATTGAATGGGTCTACTCTAGTTGTGACATATGACAAAGAAGCCAGCCACAGCTAAAGCTGGCCTATTTAAACTAATGGAACTTACGGAGAAGCTGACTCACCAAATCCACACTGCTTCAATGGGACTACAGTACTCTAGTTATGACTTACTATTACTACAATAAAGCAACAGGATTTCAGCTAATGTAAGGAGCACTGGATGTGGCTTTGGAAATGCAAAACACACAACCCTCTGCTGCTCTGAGAAGAGCTTGCATTGGTCCACTGCACTCCACCAGTATTTAGCTGGTAGAGCTGATTTTCCTCCATGGGGACAAGGAGATCAAACGCCTAAGAACCAGTCTGAAATGTCAAATTACGCCACCCTGAATGACCTCTCCTGGGTGTCATGAGCTTGCTTTGTTGCAAAAGTGGCAGGCACTCTGTGACTTTGCCCCCTTTGCCTTCAAGATGAAATTGAAATTCTCCCAATGTACTGATGTAAACATCAATTTGCAGTACCTGGTTTTCAATAATCTTCATTAATCTTGTTATAATCAAATCCTTTTCTTTTAGTGTTTTTTTGAGTTGCTGATTTTCCTTCTGTAAGGTTTTATACATTCCCAAATAGCCGTTCTCTTCACCTAAGCATTCCTGTTTTTAAATAAAAGGAAGGAACTTCAGTTAATACAGTTAATACTATTAGTATACAAAAACACCAACTGAAGCCAAAATCCTGTTGCTTAGTGTAGTAAGTCATATTAGATTAGACTGAATCAATTGGGTGTGTGTGTGTGTGGATGGTTGTGGTTGTTGCTGAGTCACTTCCTTGATTCAAACTGGTGTACTCTGGAACTGCATCCAGACGCAGGATGCTGGAGCAGTCTGCTTCATGCTTAAAAGATTCTTATCTTCAGTGTGATCTATTTCCCCCATCACTTAAGCGATCCGTCCATTCACAGTGATCAAGGTTTCTTCTCCTGTGAGAAGGGTCCAGACAGATCTTTGGTTCAATCCCATGTGACCCTCCCCTTCCTGGACCCTTCCCTGTCTTTTCCTGTGGCTGACATTCAGTGGGTTGGGATGACTTCCCTTTTTTATTGTTTGTTAAATAAAGTGACATAGCAAAAGAGCAATACATCTACCTAGCATAGCATATATAATACCACTAATGCGTCTTGTTTATCTAGAATAGCGCTACAGCAATAGGAAAATATTTTTAAAAATTAAATGGTAGAGTAGATGAAAATAGAGGAAGGGGGTGTTCTTTGTCAGGGATGACAAAGGGATTTCAGTGCCACCATCTACCAAACACATCACAGGGCTATCGTCTCGGTTAACTCCGCCCATAGCTCTATTTTGCTGCAAACTAGCCACCTGCACAAGATACAGAACAGGATAATTAGGAGCACTCTGGATTGTGCCAAAAAAAACAAAAACAAAAAACTGTAGCCATAGCCATGTGTCAAAAAAGGAGGAGGGCAACTCAGTCATTGATTAGCACAATGCTCTCTATTGTGGGCCTTCCCTTGAAAATGGTACAGAAGCACCAGGAGGTCCAGAATATGGCAGGCAGGTTAATCTCAGGGACTAGAAAATTTACCATAATTTTTCTTCTGATCACATTTAATTATTACAGGATTGAACTGGAAGAATAATTTCATGCTGGCTCTTGTCTAGAACCACAACTTTTCTGATTTTTCATTCGTTATGCTGTATCCACATGATGTCGTTCTCAAATAGCAGAGTTCCTGCCCAATATGTGTTTTTTTCAGACCTGTGACTTGTTAGTAATGAAATATAAAACTGCAGCTATGTGTCAGAGCATTCAAATGAATATGCATCATTACAAACATCACATTCAGTTGATTTTACCTTGAGCTGGGCCATCTACAGTATTTCAGTTTTGCATTCACTAGGATATGATAGTCTCTATGTCTCTGTCCACATATACATATTAATTAATTTGTACTTAGATTCTAAAGTAGATAAAGAAGGCTGAGCACCGAAGAATTGATGCTTTTGAATTGTGGTGCTGGAGGAGGCTCTTGAGAGTCCCCCGGACTGCAAGGAGAACAAACTTATCCATTCTGAAGGAAATCAACCCTGAGTGCTCACTGGAAGGACAGATCCTGAAGCTGAGGCTCCAATACTTTGGCCATCTCATGAGAAGACTCGACTCCCTGGAAAAGACCCTGATGTTGGGAAAATGTGAAGGCAAGAGGAGAAGGGGACGACAGAGGTCGAGATGGCTGGACAGTGTGAATTTGACCAAACTCTGGGAGGCAGTGGAAGACAGGAGGGGCTGGCGTGCTCTGGTCCACGGGTCACGAAGAGTCAGACACGACTAAACAACTAACCAACAACACTTAGATTCTAAATGGCGTCACGAAGGGTCGGACACGACTTAACAACCAACCAACAACACTTAGATTCTAAATGGTGAACAATTACCTACCTGAAAAGATTTACTGATGTGAGCTTTTCTGTCTATCATAGGCTCGCTTCCAACTTTTATGGATGACCTTGTTTCTTGAAATCCAGCTGCCACACCAATAACACATGGTGGAACCCTTGGCTTGATAGCAATATGCATACGGAATGGTTCAGGAGCATTAACAGAACACACATTTCTTTTCAGAGGTTGGGACACTGCATGATTCATTACTTCTGTGGCTGAAAGTTGTCAGGCTTTATAAAAAGCCAGCTGGAAAAATTTAACCTGGAGATAATCTGGAGTAATAAAGGGATACATAAATCCTCAATATTTCAGCCATTCCTTTTAGCACAACAAAGGAAGAGAGTGAAGCCTAGGGTGTCAGTTTGAATCTGGGTAACCAGGAACAGAAGACACATGGATTCCCAAGCACTATTTTCTTTGGTTTGTTTCTGTTGGAGTTATTTCAACCTTGCATGCTGCCTCTAATAGGCTGGGAAGGACCTTTCTGGGCTAGAGTGATTGTCAATCAATCCAGCAGTAACCAATTGTTCCTTCCCTGTGTCTGATTTCAAAGGGAGCTACACTTCTCTGCTTAAAAATCTTCCTTCCTCTTTTTCTGCTGGCAACTAGCAGTTAGTCCAGCAGTAACCAATTGTTCCTTCCCTGCGTCTGATTTCAAAGAGAGCTACACTTCTCTGCTTTAAAATCTTCCTTCCTCTCTTTTAGTCTGCTGGCAGCTAGCAGTTAGAGCAGTAGTCTTCAAGAAGCAGGCTGTGAGTCTATTGAGGCCTGACATGGTAAGCAGTCATTTTTGCTCAGTACGCTGTTTTCATCTGTTCAACTGTGAGTAAATGAAACCTTTTATTCTTTCTCTTACCAGTGTGAGTTACTGAGACTGTAAGTGCTAGTTGATGAGACAAAAAAAGAGCATGAGAGCGTATTACTAGGAACAGAGCAGTAGTGTTGCATGGAACAGGAGAGGACGAAGACCTTGCCCAGAATTTGAAGGCGGCACTCCCTGACCTAATCATGATGGGAACGAGCCCATACTGACCTGCTGTACCCCTTTGTCTCTGAGATATGCAGAACTCTCTCTTCCCAACCATCAGCATGACACTTTGCTAAATGAACTATGGACATCATCACTGATCCCTCCACATGTCTTTCCTTTGCCGGAATGCAACTGTAAATGATTCATGTCGTTCTGGGATTAGGAGAAAGGATTTTTCCCAGCAAAGTTTAGTGCCTCCATCATCAGTGGAGGCCTTTCTCTTTTGGTCCCATCATCCTCCAAGGTGCCTTTGGAAGGGACATGGCAAAGGTCTTTCTCTGACACTGTTCCTGTGTCAGGTGTGGAAATGCTTCCCATGGGAGGCCAGAGTCTTTACTGCCCTTCCATGGGCAGGCAAAGACTTTTCTCTTCAAGGAAGCTTTTTCCTTCTGACACTAATGGCTGCCTAAAATGAGATCGTATTTTTTAAAAAAACAAAAAACACACATTTAAAAAACTGATTTTTGTATAAATCTTTTTGTTTATCTTCATAGTGCAGGTTCCTTGGGTCCTTCTGAGGAGGAAGGCAGGGTATAAATATTTGAAAAAACAAATACATCAAAAATATTTTCTCTAGAAACTGTAAAAAATAAAATTATGGTTTAAAAGGAGGGTGGTATTTTTGGCCTTACCAGCGCCAAGAGAGGTAAACAAAAATTGTTTTTACTTATTTCTAAATGTGAAGTTCTGGGTGTCCTTTGTTTTGTTCTTAAATGTAATCAATCCCTAAAGTTATTTTTTTTTCCCCGCCGCCTCCAGTGCGCATGCGCATTCCTCCCTCTCCTCCTCGCAACCCTGCGAGGTTGGCCTGGATGGGATTGAGCGGCCGGCCCAAAAATGAAGGGGCGAGATCCACCGCCTCGCTGTGGCTGGACCTCGGATTTTCCTAGCCAGGCCCCGAATTCGAAATACAGTTTTAAAGTGACGTCAAAGCACGACGGTTGGCCTCTGCGTGACGTCACGCCGGAGGATGGCGGTTGGTCGCGGCTGGGGACGCCAGGACGGAGTGCGTACGCGGCTCGGGTCGTGTGTACGGGGGTTGCCTCCTTCCCCACAATACCTTCTTCACACCGCCGCCTTCCCGGTGCGCCCCTCCGAAGAGGCCCACCCGGCTCCGAGGCTCGCCCGCCGAGGACGTGGCGCTAGGCCCAATTTCCTCCGGTTGCTAGGCGACCAGACGCGGAGGGGCGGGGCGGAACGGCGGTGCGGAGGAAAGCGGGCGGCGGCGCGGCCAGAAGGCCGCTGCACTGCGACAAAGCGAGAAATGAGGACGAGCGCCCCGCCCCCCAGGCCTTCCGGCCCGGCCATTGGCTGGTTTGGACGCGGGGTAGGTGGGGCTCAGAGGGCCGCCGCACGGGGATTGGCAGAGCGGAGAGTGAGTGGCGGAGCGCTTATCCCGCCCTCTCCTTCCCCTCCCTTTTTTTTCTATTAAAAGGGTGGTGGAAGGAAAGAGAGCGAGAGGGGCTGTTGGAGCAGGTGGGAGAGATAAGGTGGCAAGGATGATGAGAACAATGCCGACCCTCCTCCATAAAAGGAAATATCATGGGACAATTAGGAGATTTCCCCATTGATCACCACTTTGATACTTTTTATTCTCTCCCCCCCCCTCAGTTTGCTTGGCTGCCAGTCTATGTATGAAATAATTTATTTTATTTATTTTAACTCATTGTGTGTGTGTGTGTTTTAAAATTACTATTAAAATTGTCTGGATTGCAGATTTCCTGGGCCAAAAAAAAATATGCTGAAAAGACATGTGGCTGACATGGTTTTTAATATTCTTATTTTAATGAGAGGGCTGAAGAATTTTAATTCCTCAGAGATCAGCCCTTCCCCCTCTCTTTTTTTTGGGGGGGGTGAGAGTGTTAGTTCTGAGGGGTCCCCAAGTTCAGCCAAATCCTGTGAGTTGGAGTTGTTTTCTGTTGTTGCAACAACAACAACAACTCACTTTTAAGAGAGTCTTGTCTACGCCGAAGCATCCTCCAGGACTGCTGCTGGTCAAGGTTGAGGCTCCAAGGATGATGATGATGATGACCATCACCAGCAACAACAACCGAAAAAAGTCTGGCCCTCTCAATGGAAAGAAGCATGACTGAACAGAGACATTTCCAGGAAGGGGAAGAAAAAGAGATTCTCTCCCCCCACACACACACGCTTTGTGGCTGGAAGGATGATGATGATGATCATGTGCCTCCTGCTTTTCTGGTCCTCCAGTGCACAGAGAGGGTTGGGGATGGGTGGGTGCCTGCATGGTGGGAGGCTGGAAAGGAGGCATCAGAGTTGATCTCATGGGTAGATGGGCAGTGCCATGTTCAGTGTAGGTTGCAAATCTGCTAATTTCCTTTTTTCTTTTCTTCCCTTTCCAGAGGCAGAGTTGAAGGGAGCTCATCGAGGCTCTGGGATGGAGCTGACCCAACTTTCTGGCTCTTTGTCTCCCTTCAGGATACGTCCGTTTGCTCCTTGCTCTCTCCGTGCTGCTCCTTTTTTGGGCTGTCAGTCCATAGATGCTTTGGGTGCATTTTGAATCCAGGGTTTTTTACCTTACACTTTTTTTTTCTGGAGGCTCTTTTCAGGTAACTGGCACTCCTTGTTCTTTCCTGCTTTCCCCATTTCCTTTCTGCGTTCCCAAATCTCCGTGGTCCGTCAAAGGGTTTGAGCTGATCAGAAAGTCAGGAAAGACCTGAGATTTCACAGCCCAAAGGCTCTGCGTTCAGGAAGGCGGTCGTTGCGGTTTTTAAAAGCTGGGGCTGAGTAGGACAGGTTGTGCTGCCAAGCGGTGATGGGACAAGAGAATTTCTTTCTCAGAATAATCTGAGAATAATCTCAATTTTTTAAAATAAGATAATGTCTTTCTCAGAATAGTTTCAGAATGTTTTTATATTATAATCTTAGTTTCTTCTGTGAAGTGTCCCCTTTTTGTTTTTAGCGTGTAAGGTTTTTAACTAACAATGACCTAGTTTTAAAAGAAAAAATAATTTCAAAAAACACTTAGTCTATCTGATTAGAATAATTCTAATCTGAACAAAAGAGAAAGAGGAATATTTTCAAAATAATTCAGGCTGCCTTTCCTTAAAGCTTTATGTATGTTTTCATTGTTTCTGTATTTAGTAGAGTAGCTTTCTGTTTTCACCATAAGAAGAGGAGAGATCTTTAAGTGGGAAATTTTCTACCTCCTTTCCTGGAGCTGTTTGGGTGGAAATGCTTGTTGTTCACAGAACAGTTTGAGCCAGTTTATTTATTTATTTATTTATTTATTTATTTATTTATTTATTTATTTATTTATACATACATACATACCCCGCCTATCTGGTCAAAACGACTACTCTAGGCGGCTTCCAAACATGCAGAAATACAACAACATATACATATAAAATTATTTGGCTTTGATATAAATGAAATTATTTGACTTTGATATAAATGGGAAGAACCAACTGCATCTTAAAGACTCCACCCAACTCACCCATCTAGCCTCCTGATAGTTACTTTTTCCCATGCCTGCTTATTTTTGTAATGGTTATTTTAGGACATGTAACTATTCTGTGTCTCTGAGTGGTAGATGTTTTAAGGGTTGATACTTTAGAAAGATGGAGGTGATAATATTTTGTGTCTAAACCTTTGTTTTTAATGGGAGGATTGTTTGAAATAGTATATTCCAATTTAGAATTAACGTTGATAAATAAAGCAAAGGACTTTGTTTGAAAGTGTTGTTTCAAAACATACTCGTTTTCAATTAGACTAGACTTTTCTTGAAGGAGGATTTGACAATTGGCACATGTAGGGTTTTTTTCTGGTCTTGTTTCTGCTGTTTGTGAAGAACCACCGCCTATATGCCTGTTGAGTCTTAAAATTCTGTAGTGCTGTATATTACCATTCAGGAGTGCTGACAATGATGGTTATGGACTTGAGTGTTATTTATTACCGCCTGATAAGGATTTGGGGGATTCCTTAATTCATTGATAAATGGTCACATGGGTTGAAAGATTTAATATATAATTTAAAACATTAGCCTCACTTTCAGCTAAACTAGGTCCTTAAGAGATGCTTTATTACAGGAATATACCTTGAATTGAAATTCTTCAGTGACTTTTCTAATAAAACTCAACATCGGGTAGAAGGGCAATTGTCTTTGCTGTTCTACTTTAAAATCTTTTTTCCTTCTGTTAAGGGAAGAACTGTGAAAATGATTAATAATTGGACTGTTAATGCATACATTCAAAGAGTCCTTTTTAAAAAAATATTCTTTTATACTGATCCGATTGCGCCAAAGGCCACACCCATATATTTAGGTTTCCTTTGCTCTTCCAGAAAGTTGAGCTTTTCTACCTTACAAAAAAGGGGGTTCTATGCAAGTGGGCCTTATGAGAGAGGACCTCATTCATGAAGTAGTGAGGTCATAGGATTTAAAGTCTATCCTATTCAAATCGGTCAGACTGACGTAATGGAGCTAAACATCTTCATTGAAATAAGCAGCTCCTTCCCCTCAATGTTAACTTGTTCTCTTCAAATTAAATACTTAGTTTTTCAGTAGTATAAAGACTGAAATTATGAATGGATTAATATCTATGTTGAATAAATGTAAGGGTGTAATGTTAAACCATAGTTGAGTATTTTAGGAACAAGCCTCAACAAGTGTTCAGCTTATGGTGTCTTGGTCATGTTTGGACATAAGGAGTAACTTAGAGGTTTTTCTGCTACTTTAGCTTAACTTGCAGCTTCTTGTGACACCCCAAAACAAACTCTGATGAAGCCCAAGTGGGAGCAAGCCAGTTTAAAGCAAAGACTTTTGAAGCTGGCCTATTACCACTAGCATAGTTAAGATTAACTGCTGTGTAGAGCTCATACGTAAAGCAAAGTGTGCTGCTTATATACCACCCCATAGTGCTTAAAGTTCTCCCAGGGAAGATCACAATAATGCAAGCTACACATTGGCCCCACCTCTACCTTCCCCCCCCCCAAGCGAGCTGGATGCTAAATTTACTGACCATGGAAGAACAAGTCAATCTCAAGCTGGCTACCTGAGCCTGAGATTGAACTCAGGTTGTGAGCAGAGTCTTCACTGCAGCAATGCAGTTGAAGCTCTGCACCACCAGGCTCCTAATGATAAACCGCGGCTTATCAGAAGCAGCATCTATCAGTGTCCTTGCATCTATGCTGGACAGAGGCATGTGAGCTTGCTGCTTGTTCCAGCTTGACCTCAGACCATAGTATAGTTTGGCCGGACCAGATAAGTTAAGGTTCCCCTTGACATTTAGTCCAGTCGTGTCCAACTCTAGGGCGTGGTGCTCATCCCCGTTTCCAAGCCGTAGAGCCAGCGTTTGTCCGAAGACAGTTTCCGTGGTCACGTGGGCAACACAACTAGACACGGAATGCCGTGACCTCCCCATCGTGGTGGCACTTATTTATCTACCTGCATTTTTGCATGCTTTTGAACTGCTAGATTGACAGGAAATGTGTCATAGCTACAGCATAGCTATCTGCTATCTGATGTGCAGAAAGTATTGGTTGTCACTCTTCAAATTGTCAGGCTTCATCCATCATAATGGCCACAGAGGGGAAAACCCCTGCCAAGTACACTAGAACAAAGTAGTTGTGCAACTACCTAACTGTACTGATTGTTGTCCTTGCCCTGACTCAGAAATGTGCAGTGGATCTTGTGTTAGCCACTGGTCCTCTCCGTTTATCAGGGAGGATACTTTGTGAAAATCAATATTTGTTTTTGGTGTCCATGCTTGTGCAAGATCCAACCACAGAATAAATAACTGAGAATATCTGCATTGTCATCTCTCTGTAGTGCTTCTGTATACTGCGAAATATAGCCATCTTCCACAGCTAAATCATTTTTAGTCTTTCAGCAGTTTCTACTTCCTCTGAATAAACATGAAACAGAATCATTCCGTTCCCAAGCTAGGGGAAGGGGACAGAGAACTCGTATCAAATCATGTAGCATTTGGAAAAGGAACCCTCTCAAAGCAGAATTAAAATGGAATCGGGCATGTGATAAAGTAGACTTTTGTCCAGAAAACTAAAGTTCTATATCAGAACTTTGAAAAGTTTTTTTTATGGATTATGTTTCCCAGAATTGGCAACGCCCATAACTTGCTAAAGGATTCTGGGAATTGCAGTGTGAAAAAAAGAATGTTTTGAAGCTCTAACTACAATACATGTGTTAGTTTTTAAAGCAAAAAGCAAAGCATGCTGCTTATATACCGTCCCATAATGCTTAAAGCACTCTCTGGATGGTTAACATGTTAATTACTACACATTGCCTCCCCCCAGCAAGCTGGGGGGATGGAAGGCTGATTGAACCTCAAGCCAGCTACATGGGGTTGAGCCGAGGTTGTGAGCAGAATTTTGGCTGCAGTACTGCAGTTTAAACATTGTGCTATGAGGCTCCTCGAGTGGCCCAAGACTCTTGTGGCTCTCTATTACATGACTATATGAAGTGACATACTGGCCTAATGCTTGAAAAAGGAATAAAATCTCTGTCCCACATTTATTTTAAAATAGCTATAAGGAAGGGCTTGGATGGGAGAAACTGCATCTGTTAGTCGTCTTTTTTTCTTTTTCTTCTTTTCTTTTTTTGGCCTATTTATGAGTGTTACCTCTTTATAGAGAGCCAAGTCTTGGACTGCATTTTACAGAGCGCAGGGCTGCTAGACAAAAGTTTCATGCCTGTCTGGAACCATCATTGTGTGTTCAAGCGCCTGTCATTTTTGCACAGCTAAGATGCCTGTAAGTTTGAGATGTGCAGATGTAGCCGGATTTGCTCTGTGTTCAGAATAACATTCAGTGCAGTATTTTTAATAGCTGCTTGTGGAAGTTCACAGTTGTTCCCAATATGATTTGTTCTTTTTTCTTTTTTATCCAAATCGGAACTTGTGGAAGTTCACAGTTGTTCCCAATATTATTTGTTCTTTTTTTTTCCTTTTTATTCAAATTGGAAAAGAAGAATACAAAGCAAAAGAAGATGCATAGCAATCCAAACTTTAAAAAGAAAAAGATAAACGAAAAGCAACATTAAACCATACAGTTCCACAAACAGTATACACCCCTGTCACCCAGGGATGTATTTTTAATAACTGCCTGGGCGGGTTCACAGTATGAAAATAAATGCTTCTACTGCTGTTGATCATCTGTAATGTAAGATAAGAAGAACTGGTGTTTTGGAATAATGCTTAATATAAAGCTTAGAATCCTGGACCGCCAGGATCCACACTAACCTCTCGTTCCCACTTGGATGTATGAGGTCACATATGCACGGAGGGCACTTGTTAAAGTCATTGGCTTTATTGTGACAAGAGAGACGTTCTTTGTTTCCTTAGCAAAGCTTATTTCTGTTACCTTCCGCATCCGTTGTTGAACTCACAAGTGATAGGGAAAAACGAACATAGTATGAATATATTCCAGGTACTTTGGTCGTGCTGATGGTCTACTTCCTGTTTGTCAAATCTGCTCTTTGCTACTGTTTGTGGAGAGTGTATCCTGGCACCGTGGAAGAAAAGAACTGGCACGCTCCATACCTCAATAAGGCGGCAGGGCCTGAGAACTGTTTGCAAGATGAATTAGAAAAGGG